TAAATTCTTATTGATGATAGATGTATCAAGTATTAATGCTTTATTGATTTGATCAATTACGTATTTAGTTCCCGAAATATTATATCGGGGGTCCATTGCACATGCTAAAGGAAATAACATAAGCAATTCTTCCCAATATTTTCTAAACTTTAATTCCATTGCAATTATAATTTCACTAAAAGTAGGATCATTTTTATATTTATGGAATGTTCTTGGAATTATATAAAGGCGTTCAAGCACCACACAGCTTGTGAAATAATAAACGTCGGATAAAATCTTTATGGTCTTATAAAAAGATGTCAAAAATCATTTAACTTTCAATGTTAAAATCCAATCGGATTCATTCAACATACCATCATCATCACTTCTAACGTATCTATTGTTATAAAAGTTAGTTATTAAATGTTCGAAACCTTCACATGACTTTAATAGCGAGTAGAGTTCCATCTATGGCCTACGTCGCTAACAAATGTTTTAACAGTTGTCACCCCTAGTTCAGCACAAAAATCTTCAAATGCTTGTTTTCTACTATGAGAGATCGTTATATATACTAATGTATTGCTAATCATTTGAAGTTCATCCTTTATATATTTTAAGCCATCTTGGACAATTAAATTCAAGATATGGCACACACAACGAATATGAAACAAATACCCACCAAAATCAGGTTGAAGTGTCCTACATAATTTATCGACGATTACCTTATTAACACTAGCATTATCAAGAGTAAAAGATCGAATTTTAGTTTCGCAATTATATTCTCTAACAATACTAATAATAACATTATATATATTATTAGTATTGTGAGGAAACTCAATAATTTTAAAAGCAATAATTTTTTTATGCATACACTAAAGTGGGTCTATATAGTGTGCCGTTGTAGCTATATATGCTCTTTTATTGACCCCTTCCCATATATCAGAAGTTAAAGATATAACACCCCCATATTGTTGCAAATCCATAATTAATTGTTGTTTTGAATAATTAAATTATTGTATTGTATCGGCACGAAGAGTGTTTCAACTTGCCTCAACGTACCTTGGTTACAAATATTCTTTCACGAACGAGACGAGGTGTTGGTTGTCTGTAATAGCCAAAGGCAACTCAATGGCGGTAACATATTTCACCATTCTTGTTCGAGTATTGTCCTCCGAATATACCCATGTGGATATGAGTGAAATCGTAGAACCAACCCCTGGACTGCCAAATTGCAATTGTGTTTGACAAGTTGAAAGAAGTCCATGTCTGGTTGCACATGCTTTGTAGTAGCGATCGAGATGGGCGATGCCAATTTTTTTTGGCCATGCCAATCTTTGTTGGCAGTATGTAAATACTGCCTTAAATTCTGCTAGGCCATTGACAACTTATCCCGTTGAAATCAACTTAAAGTGATCCCAACATTTTGCTGGACTGCCAAATTGCAATTGTGTTTGACAAGTTGAAAGAAGTCCATGTCTGGTTGCACATGCTTTGTAGTAGCGATCGAGATGGACGATGCCAATTTTTTTTGGCCATGCCAATCTTTGTTGGCAGTATGTAAATACTGCCTTAAATTCTGCTAGGCCATTGACAACTTATCCCGTTGAAATCAACTTAAAGTGATCCCAACATTTTGCTTTTTTTTTTGCCCTTTCGCTTTCCCCTCGCATCTGGGATGTTTAATTCGGCATCTTCATCATCATGTTCTACTTCAAAAACGTTAATATTATCTAAATCAATTGGATTGTGGCTTCCCTGACCGTGAGTGTGAACATTTTTAGGTATGGGTACGTCATTTAGACCGACAAATTCATTTGAAAATTGACTTTGCGGTGTCTTAGGCGATTCGCCATGTGGCCCACATCCCATATCGAATAAGCTTTCAGCAAACGAGCATTGATCCATTTGTTTGATTGTTTATGATGAAATCCAAATAAATAACTAGAAAAATATAAATATAGTGAGAATTGAGAATTCGATGAATTGAAATTGTAACTGAATAAACTGTAAAAAGATAAATCGATATTGTATATTTTGCAGTACAAGAAAGTAAAAACTAGATAATTGATATAATAAAAGAGAATTGAGAAATGAGAAGTAGTGATTGAGGAGATAATTGATATAATAAAAAAAAAGAGTTATGGGATATTTATAATAGAAGGAAAAAAATTTAAAACAAATTCAGTGACCGGAACGGTCACTGAAACTTTTCAGTGACCAAATGGTCACTAAACTCACAAGCTTGGCTCGTGGTTGGTTAAAATAACGAGCCATGAGCTAGGCTCATTTAAACGAGCTCGCCTCCCGACGAGGACCGCTCGGCTCGCGCTTGGGCTCTTGATTTTACGATTCCGAACCATCCATGAGCCCTATTTCGACGAGCCGTTTGGCCCTTTTGACATCCCTATGAATGTACAAGTAAAACTAATGTTTGGAATTTCAAACTATTAAAAAACTGTAATTTTTGCTGAACATGCACTAAGAGTCAAAACTCTAGTTACGTGATCGTTGCACTAGGAGTCAACATTTCGCTATGTACTTCCACCTGTCAATGGCCATTAAATGACAATAAAATCAAATACTAAATGAAACCATTTCCAAATTAAGGAGAAATTATTTTTTGGGCGGAGGGCAGGGATGGCGCAAGAGCAATTGCAGGTGCCATGAGCTCTAGACCCGAGTCTTCATCTGTAACTGGTCGTGACCAAGAAACCACCAATTATTCTTGGTGGGCTAGGAATGCTCGACTTATCAATTTATCCGATAAACTACTAGGAGCCCCCCGACGAGGAGACCTTAGGATAAGTTGCCTTTCGTATAGATCGAGACTTGTAGCTTGATTCTTTACTCATTCCATACTGGAAAGAATTGCGATAAATCATTCGATAATACCATAACTTCGCTCATAGTTGATGCAAACTAGGCTTTAAAGAAGCAAGGGTGGCTGTGCAATCTACAATCACTCGGTAAAACGGAATGCTTTGTGAAAGGCCAAACAAGTTGAAGCCCCTTAGCGCCTGGGGGTGGGAGTGGAGAGCGGCCCTACGCGTAGGCAACATGAACACTGGCTCTACGAAAATCAGAATCGCAATACCTCCCGTAAATACTCCGCCGAATATTAAAAGTTCTTAATGTTAATTGAGTACCGGGTTCTCCAATCGATTGTAGCCTTACGGTTGGGCTTCTTTAGAGGGAAGCAAGCACATCAAGCTAAGAACAATTCAATACCCAGTAGCTTTTGTGCAGTCAGCCCTGCTTGTCTTTACCCTAAAATAAAAGCCTCGTTCCACTTTTAGTGACATTCATTGCCACGTACAAGGTAATCGTTTCTGTGATCCCTCAATCGACCTTTTTTTATCCTTTCTTTTGTATTCCTTAATAACCAACAATTGGTTTTTTTCATAATGATAGTTGGATAATTTCTATCTTGGAACTAGGAGGACCTCACTTCGATAGACATCCATTCATCGTAATCGAACGAGCAATCGAAAAGATTCTGGAGCATTCTCAAGATTAGGTATTGTTCCTCCAATGATCGTAGTGCTTCCAGACATGCTCAGCTCCACATATTTTTGCACAGTCAAAGGGGATCGATTTCGGAGATGATGGGATAAGTGTATTTTATACACTTGGCTTTTAAAAAGGTATCCAAAGTTCGAGGACTAAATTGCAAACATACAATAGTTTATTCGAACAACACAATGATAATTGAAGAGTGCTAGGAGTTAATTGAATTCAATTAGCAATCAAAGGGAAATGAAATATGATCAAAGTATTTTCACAAATCAATTTTCAATCGCTCAAGTTAAATTCCAAATTTTTAGTCGAAGATTAAGATCGATCTTTGGTATAATAAACGTTCGAATTAAAAAAATTCTATTAGTAAAGTTGTGTTCCTTTGAGTTAACTTTTCAACAGACTTTAAAATTTAAATCACCTCAATCAAATATCAAAGAGAAAGTTATGACAAAAATACTGGCGATTGTACAGGGACAGAAAACGTCGCAAAAGTAACTTTCCTTACTCAATTGGAATTCTTTTGTAAACCAATTTGGACGAGATTTTCAACCAATTTTCGACTGGTATAAATACCTAAGAGCAAAATACATTAGGGAAACCTCTCATACACTTTTCATATGCCTCTCACACTTCAATATACATCAATTATTATCATCAAATGGAAATGAAATTTATAGTTTTGTAAAAGAATTGAAGGGTTTTTGTGAAAATACAATGAAGTGAAGACTAAATCTTAATTTTTTGGTAAAGGCGAAAGTACAAGTGGAGATTTACCAAGAAACCATTAAAGAGATTCAAGAATTCAAGAGTCATCTTCATCTTTTAAATTTATCAATAATTCGGATTATGTCTTTCCACTTAAACATCGTTTCTTGTAATGTTGCAATGTTAGACTGTGTTTTTAATTACTAAGATGTAGATGAACCTTTATTACGAAGTTTTTAATATAAATCAAATATTATGATGTCCAACATTTTTTTTTTTTTTTATATATCCAGGTATCCACCTTACAGTGACTAAATCTTTGAATCTACACCTTGACCCCTCAAGTTGCAGACAGGTTAAACCGCAGGTTTGTGTTCTTTCTTGGATACTTGTTATTGTGTTTAATGGTTTTCAATTAATGGAATGATTTGTGAATTTTATTGATTTCGAGGAAATAAATAGCACTTATTACACCATTGTAAGGTCTGATAAAAAATAAAGATATATCGCTATACTTTGCATAATTTTTATAGATGTTTTAATGTTTTTAATACATACTTTCTTGTTCACATCTTTCACAGAAATATAAGAAGGTCAAATAAGATGATAGATTTAATTAACATCAAAGGATGCTTCAACTTGTGAACATTGATCGACAAAAACGTGCATATATCATCATAATATTGACCTGCATTAAAATGGATTAATAATGGTGATACGAAATCTTAATAATCATCTCAAGTTCTATTAAAATCTTCATAAATTTGCTCAATATAATAGTTGGTTAATTTAACATAAATTCTTCAACAAATATTTACCATTCAATTAAGGTTGAAACAAATTGGTCATTAGTTAAGTACACAATCATCCCGGGAACGATACCTTACTACCTTATCACTTGTTCGCGATCCCACACACTTGCAGGAAATCACAGATCATGATGCTTATGATTTTTCAATCAATTTTCATTAAGAAGGAACATAGACTTAAAAGGTCTTTGACTCTTTTCTAGCTCATATACTACGACGAGCCAAGAACTAGATGAATCTTGAGAACGGTTCTTGCAACCCGAGGAGAATGACTTCGGCATATCAATTATCACCTTTGATCAACGAAGAGCAATGTTCTAGGCATACTTGCAGAGGTTCTCGAATCCCATGTACTCATTCCGCTCTATCTTTCCAATCATGTTTGAAATGCCAACTCCACCTGTTTAATGCAAGAGATGGAAAAACATAAAAATCTAGTTAATGCATCGAGAAAATCGTAGCAATGTCAAGAAATTTTCATGGCATCAAACTTAAAGAACAAAACAATAAATATTATTGGCATGTTTATTAGAGAGAATTGAATAATACTAGACAACATGCATTAAATCTTTCAATGTTCAATAAAGGTACTTACCTAGAGAGATGGCACTAACAAATATTGTGGAAGCTAGAATGAAGATTATTATCGAAGCCCTTCCCACCATAATGATGAACTTTCTTACAAAGAGTTGCCCAGCAAATGCAGCAACAGTCGCAACCGTAAAAAAGTAAAGAGCTGTCAGGCAGATGCCAAAACATCGACAATTTAAGTCATATGCCCGATAAACTTTTCTTTTTCATTTTACAAATTAGAAGAATTACTCGATGTTAGAATTCCTGCTATTGAATTCGGATAAGCACTTACCATAAGGAACCGGAAATCGTTTTAGAATGTAATACTCTACCACTGACATTGACGAGGAAAACATCATCGCGAAGGTGGCCGTGGCACTCGAAACCTGAAAAAGTTTTCGGAGCATTTTTCGTGCATTGAATTTTTCATTTAAAACTGTTTTGAGATGGTGAAAATTTATTTATTTAATTTGTCTTCAATAGAACTCACCTGAGGAGGTACACCTAACTCCAAAAATAGTGGACCCATGATAAATCCACCGCCTAGACCGAGAAGGCCCCCGACCATACCAGCCAGTACCCCAAAGAAGCAATAGGTGACCAGTTGGTGCACTTTAAAGTTGGTTCCGGCATCTCCCTTGGATGCAATTTTTCTCGATCCGTTGTACAGGCCAATCGCTTCATGACCAGATACGCCAAGAGTGACCGGGATCTTCAGCACAGTGAGAAGGTAATTTGCGCGGAAATGAACAAAGAAAATGTCTTCACCAATATGTACTCAAGTTATTTTTCTAGAATGTATGTTAAATCTTATGCACTCACATACCTGGAGCAAGTTCACAACCCAGTATCCTGCTGAACATGTGGCTGTATAAATCTGTTCAAATTTGAGGCCAGTGAGTTCAAGATTTCATTAAGTTCAAATAAACTCCAGAAGAGACTACTTAAAAACCTTAACATTTCAAGAAGTAAGGTAACAGAAAAGGAAAAATGGAAAAGGAAAAAGAAAAACCTTGATGATCTGAAGAGCAAGAAATGCGACCCAAACAAAAAGGAGAAGCCCAACTTCCTTCCAACAAACATGTTCATGAAAGACCTGAGATTATGAGATGAGTCAGAATTGAGGATTTTGATGATGGACCCTAGCCCGTGAGATACATCTCACCTCTGGTTCGACCAAGTATTTGGCTTCTGTTCTCATGCCAATGGAGGGGCAACCAGGAAGAAGCTCATATTCAGCTTCATTTATAACATTGCCTGTTACAACACAAAAGGCATGTGCTTAGTTTCAAGGAGGGGGGGAATAGTTGAAGAGAAGAAAAGACAATGCTCGAACGTGTTCACAAAATGAAGAAAGGACTCAATGGACCCACCATTTCTTTCCAATAGCCTCACAGCCTCCTACAGAGAGAAGGCAATTAGTATTCAACATGAAAGAATTGTATATAAAATGTTTTGCGCTTTGCTTTTTCTGCAACAAAGTTAAATTAACATAGGACATCATAAGGAAATTGTAGCAGAACTTTTAAAAGCAATAAAGAATTTTTCTCTCCAGTATTGTTCAGCCTCTGATGATCCATTTACTACCAAATTGTGTAAAACTTACCGTTTTCACGATGGTTTCTTTCTTCCATGTTTCAATACCTCTGGAAAACGCCTTGGTCGATGTACCTGAAACAGTCATAAAAAGTAAAAATTCTCACACTTTACCACGTTGGATAGCAAAATATCAATATTGACCACTTATTACCTATAAAGAGAATGATTAGAAGAACAGTAACCATCCAATCAGCAAATATCACATTGAAAGTCACTCCAATACTAATGCCAAGCATAAGCATTGGTTGGATTAGAACAGCCAAATCATAGTCAATTATGGGCATGTCAAGTGTAGGATGCCTGAGCTTAAGATTGTAGTAAACGGTTGAAAACGATGCTCCCATGATCATACCTGTCAAAGTCGAAACAACATTTATGCCTCCCTTAAGAATGACAAGACTTTTTTTATAACGGAAAAATGATCTTCTCATTTCTTCTGTAGACGTTTTTTCATAGGGGAAGATTTATACATGATCAAGTTGTATCAACTCTTTCAACACTTCTGATCACAAACAAATTATAACTCTGTTCTTGAAGATTTAAAGCACAAGTTTTAGGTGTAATGTGAAGGAACACATATGGTTTAAAGTACCCAAAAATACTAGCAAATTGTAAACTGCAGTGTTGTTAATAAAATAGTAATAAGAGTTTTTTCTAACACGGGATTACAAATCCACTAAATTAACAATGATATTTGCAGGGCGCAATGCGAAACTAAGAAAACGCTCAATCACATTAATATGTCTGTATCTCACATTTTGAGATAGCAGTTGATGATTTTGGATCAAATCCGATAATCAGTCTAAGCATAGGAACAAATATACCACCACCGCCAACACCACCTACACTCCCAAAGGCAGCTCCAAAGAATCCAATTATGCTACCAACGATAATTTGCCAACTGACCTTCAGATCCTGTAAATAGCATACCAGATAAAAGACACTTCACAAGTCTTCTAACACGATAGTATATCCGTAACATGTAACACAAAATTAATCACGGAAAATGGCAAGTCATTACAACCTTTTCACATATTAGTAACACAAATTCATCCTCCTCTATTGAATCTCTAGAGTCAATAATTTTATATAAGGAACTACTGAACGTTGATACCACAAATAGATGTAGATCATCTCGACTCAATTTTTCTCCGATACTATCTAAGAGTTCAACTTTACGAACTCGAATACATATAGATACACTTATAGATAGATGTATCATAAATTCAATCGACGCAGGATGAAAACGTAAATAATAATAAAAGGATCTTGTTTGTAATACACGAATGGGTGTTGCTCAAATTTCACTCGAACAGACGTGAGAAATACTAAAATCCACCAAAGAAAAGAAAATCTGAAATATTATTAATAAAAAACTGTTGTAGGGTTTTCAAACCCAACACATATTTAAAGCATCAAAGTGACACCCTAATTCTTTAGACAAATTCGAATAAAACTAGAAAACTACAAAAATGACGAAAATACCCTTGGACAGATTCAAAATAGAAAAAAGCTACAATGGACCCCTAAACAGTGGAATTTGACCAAGAAAGTTTGACTGTGTTAACTGGAAAACAGAAAAGAACTAAAAATGCTTCCAGATTTTAATCGCTCGGGTAAAATTTGGTAGTTTCTCTTTTAACTGTTTCGCATCATCAACAGTACTTTTTACTCCAAGATGTGTTCTTTTGTCCAATACGTGCATCGTGCATGTCCACATGCATATCCTCAATTGATATGCAGAACATGTTGTTTAAAAATAAATGTAGTAGAGCACAAAATTTTAATTAAAATAAAGGAAGTTAATCTGTAGAGATCCCCATAAATAGCTTCCATATGAAACCAGGAACCGCAAACGACGGACAATAAATCCTTAAATTAAAAAATCTACCATGCAAAGCTCGAAAAGGGAAAACCAAGAAATAATTCAAAAATTGCAGATAAAAATGAACTGAATCAATAATTTGACTCACCGGCCAAACATGCTTGTAACCAGATTTATTGGCTTGCCATAAGAAATTCATCAAATTTGTAGACTCATCTGGTTCAGAATCAGGATTTGAAATCCCATTTGCATTATTTGATAAAGCTTCCAGCTTTAAGCTCCTTTCAGCAGAAACAATTACTGAAGCCAACAAAAAGTTAAATACAACTATATACAATGGCCTATAAGCCCTCCATTTTTCTTGATTCCTCGCCATTACAGAATCCAAGATTCCCACTTTTGTAAAATAAAAAATCTTCACTTTTTGTCTCTGATTTCAAACGGGTTTCTCTTTTAGGCAGAAAATTTTGCAGGGAAATTTTATGTTCTTCAATGGTTCAATGCAATGATAGTAACTAAGTGGATGGATTGGGAAAGGTTGTTCTGAAAAACTGTGAGGAAAATGAAAATGAAAATGAAAAAGTAGCGATGCAATTGGATGATGTGACAACTGAAAAAGGCAGAAGTAATTATTAGCATAAAACGACGCTCATTTGGATTGTGTAATGTCAATTTCGGACCCGCCTTTTGATTCACCTCATTTAAGATGCCGCAAATTTTTGGTATATGTTTTTTTGAGTAATTAGCACAAAACGTCCTTAACTTTTGATATTTTTATGAAAAACGTCTCTATCTTTCATTTTTTGGCGGATTATACCTTCACCTTTACCTTTTTTTGCGCAAAACATCCTTTTGTCAACTCCCCGTTAAATTAAAAGGTAATTAGCACAAAAGGTTCCTACCTTTCAATAATATTGTGCAAAACGTCCTTACCTTTCTTTTTTGACATAATTAGCACAAAAGGTCCCTACATTTCAATGTTATTGTGCAAAACGTTCCTACCTTTAATTTTTTAGCATTTTCACCCCTACTTTTCACTTTTCATTGCGAAAAAGGTCCTTCTCATCCATTTTTTCAATAAAATAACGATTTTGTTCTCCTATTCAAATAAAACAAAAAGAAAAGATGAATAACCAACTGCAACCATAGTCCTTAAATTTTTAAAAAATTACAAAGAAATCATAAATTCCCAACCACCACCACTTTCACAACCTATCAAGCTGTCAACTATAAATCAACATAATACCACATTTCTACCACCATTCCCACCAGACTCTGCCACCGTAAATGTGGTTGTTTTGGACAGATTGGTGACTAATACTATGGAGGAGGATATTGGAAAGAGTGAGGTGAGGCTGGTGGTGGTGGAGTCCGATAGGTGTTATGACCGAAAGGTAGTGTTATATGGATCTATAGGTGGTGGCTTGGTAGGGTTATGAAAGTGACGGTAGTGGAAAATTTAAAATTTATCTGTAATGTTTTGAAATATTTAGGACTATGATTACAATTAATTAATTATTTTTCTTTTCTTTTCTTTTCTTTTCGTTTTATTTGAATAGGGGGTAAAATCGTCATTTTATTGAAAAAATGGATGAGAATGACCTTTTTCGCAATGAAAGGTGAAAGGTAGGGGTGAAAATGTTAAAAAATAAAAGGTAGAGATGTTTTGCATAATAACATTGAAAGGTAGGGACCTTTTGTGCTAATTATGCCAAAAAAATGAAAGGTATGGACGTTTTGCACAATAATATGAAAATGTATGAACCTTTTGTGCTAATTACCTTTTGATTTAACGGAACATTTTAACGGGAAATTGACAGAATGACGTTTTGCGCATAAAAAGGTAAAGTTGAGGGTGTAATCCGTAAAAAAAGGAAAGGTAGGGACGTTTTCTATAAAAATATCGAAAGGTAGGGTCATTTTGTGTTAATTACCCTATGTTCTTTTATGGAATTTATGAAGAAAAATAATAAAGAACACATTTTTCCTTTTAATTTTCTAAAAAAAAAAAAGGTTGAATCCCAATCTTGAGGGTCCCCACCGTTCTATCTTTAAAACTTTGTGAGGGAGGTAAATTGCGGAATATGTCCCAACAGGCCAAGGAACAAGAGCTGTCTGTACACTGCGCATACAAGGAGTCAATTTTATGTCTCAGGAATCGAACTTCCTTTTAATTTTCTGATAGTACTCAATGTGAATGTCTGTGAATTGTTCATAAACAGTAGAAATTATAAATAAATTAAAATGAATGACGAATAAATTGGTAAGACTTTAAAATTTCACAAAATGTGTGGATGAAAAATGATTCGATGGATTATAAATCGCTTACAAAAATTAGCCAAACATGTGATTAAATACGATTAAGGTAATAACAATTTGACAATTTCAAAAGTTGTTTTGATCAATCATATTTAGAGCTGTTTGATGTAGGCTTTTTGAAAATAAATTTTGTAAAAAATATTTATTTATTTATTTTTTAAGAATAGGTAGTTAAAAAGTAAAGAAATGTTAAGAGCCCACAAGTAAAATTATTTTATATGGAGAATGTATAATTGAAAATGAGTTTGAAAAACAATAAGTATTAAATAATCTATACCAAATAGGGTGTTAACGTATGGTTAGTATATGTAATCATCAACTTAATCGCCATTATGTTAATTTAACTTTAAAGCCGTATTATATTATATTATCTTAAAGATCATGTTAAATAAGAATCATTTTTAGAAGATTTTAACTCTACTACAATTGAATTAATTCAATAATACCTTATTTTCAATATGTAATAAATTATACAAAAATTTTGTCAGTATGAATTCGTGTCATTAATTAACATTCAAATTAATCTAAACTCAATAAATCCTGATTTGATGAATTTTGATCTACATGAATTTATATTATAGATGAACATTCACATTAATCTAAGACTCAATGAATCTTAACTTGATGAAACTTGATGTACATGAATTTAGGGTTATTATAGATAAATTTATTTCTATTCATGTATATAAAAATTTTAACGGGTGTTTAAATTCATGTTTTAGCAACTAATTCTTATGTGCCAAATGTAGCATAAAAAGATTGCTCATTTGTAGTATTTTATTATCCCAAAAAAATTGAATCATAAAAGTTATATTCTAAGAGTACAATTTTCTTCTTTAAATTTCTATACTAAATTTTATGTTTTTTGTTCATTTAAAAATCATCAAATCCTCCCAAACAAATAAGTATCAAATATTACTTTACCAGAATTTATAAATTATTTTAAAATAACGTACATTGCAATACTCTAACTAATATTATAAAGTTTGCAGACAACGTTGTACGGAAATATAATTTAATTTTTGTCCTTAATACAATTCGATCGATTATTCTAGACATGATATAAACACATATTCAACATTGAATAGGGACGTGATCTTAAAGTGATTCAATCCAATTATTATAGTAAAGTTTGATTTTTATTTTAACTTATAATCAAGGATGATAATAAGCGGAACTTGACTGGGTGATGATTGACAAAATAAAGCGAAAGAGTCTTGTCCGGTAATTTCATTATCACCTATTTGAATTATTGGAGCTCGATTCCAAGACCTTTTTTTTTTGGCTCTTTCCTCCTTTTTTTCTTTGTTACAACGAATATATATGGAGTAAAAAAATAGATGAGGAAATAGAGTTATTCTTGGAGAATCTAGAAGATTAGATTTTTTTCGACGGGTGGGTTGTGGAGGGAGAAGCCTCTTGAAGATTGAAAGAAGGTATCGGTTGGGGTTCGACTCGGGTTTTGAGAAAATGATAAGATTATAACATCTTTTCTGACATATAATTAGCTAATTTGATGGTAATTTTTCTTTATCGGCTTCTCTATCATTTACGTGTAAAATTATTTTATTTATATTAAAATACTTGTACATAATCTTAATATCTTTATAATAATTAATAATAAATAATAAATAATTTATTAGGCACGTACCATGTATTCAAAATATATGACCATTACTTCTTCTCATGCACTTTATTGAGAACTATATCACTTGGCTCGCTTGGCCATGGATGTTCAAATCCTCGAGATTCCACCTCGAGATTCCACCGTCATGGAATCTCATACTAGTTGATTCATTTGAACTCACAATTTCATTCGATTATTTCACACGTACTTGAAGATTTATATTACGCTTTCACGTGAATTTCTTATTCTAATACGATTTGTTGAAATTTTAAGTTCTCTCAAAATTGTTAATTTATAATAAAAAGTAGACCAAGTCTCTAAGAAATTTAATACTATCCCCATATTAATCGACGTGAAACATTATTCATATTTTCGCTACACCAACGTGCCATTATTATCATCTAACTTTAGGGTCCTTTTTCTTTTATTCGACATTTATTCTATTTATAAGTAATTGCTTTTTATCGAAGGTGAAGCTATTGTTCGCGAAATTATTTCTTTCGATTTTAAACCACTGCAAGTGTACGGTTCGTTAACAAGTAATAAAGTGGATTCAATGAGTCCGAATATCGTCCCACAGAGATTAATTAGTTCAAATTTTATCTACCTTAGCCTTAACCGAAACTAAATTACCAAAATGGATGTAGACCTAATTGAACCTCAATTATGCAATTTTTTGACTTATGGTTAAATTGAAATTAATATGCAAAACAATAAATTAAACTCGAGAATGAAATCTAAAAGTTGAGAACGCACTTGTTATAATTATTGGGAATGAAATACGCTAGGATCACGAATTCACATGCAATTATCACTTTAAACCCTAGTTTCACAATATGACAATACACTTCGATTTTGACGAATCAATGTTCCTAAGCCTATTCAATACTCTCTCTCGAGATGTATCAAACCTATTTCTACACACCACCGGTCTATATTTCTATGACAAGAGCATATGTAAATATGCATGAAATTTTATGAACATTTAAAGATTCACATAGAGCATAGCGGTATATTTCTATCCACTATCGGACCCTACGATGATTTATACTATGTCAAATTTATTCCAATTCTCTCGAATGCAAGAATAAGTCACTTAAATTCACACAATTACAAGCTCTTAATTGCGGAAACATTTAATTGCATATAAATCATTCAACATAATAAAAATTGTGTCTTACATCAAATTGTAAAACTAGAATATTAAACTTCAATTCACATGGTTCATCGATCTCCTAGCATAAATAAATCTAGCCCAGCATGCTCAAAATAACAAAATACATCAAGGTTTGTATATAGGACATCACCGAGTTATAAAACTTGAATAAATCTTAAAGTTTTTCGTGTCAATCTTTGTTCTTGCGCTCAAATCCTCTTCTAGAGTTGTTTTTCGGCCTCCAATTACGTTCTCGGCGTCTTTGGAATGTTTTTGGTATTTATATCCCGTGGAAGATTTGGTTAACATAGGTGTTTCAATCGTATAAGGAAATAAAATTTTCGCACCGAATTTGTACCATGTGACCGCATGGTTTTAATCCGTGCGGCCGCATGGTTATCCTCTTTTTTCATCTTTAATCCCTGCATCACTTCGTGCGGCCGCACGACCGTTCTACATGCGACCGCATGGTAGAATTTATCTTTCAGTTCCTGCAATTTGGTCCC